AAACATATATACTTATGAATCTCCTTTGATGAAAGCGACACCTCGTGTTCGGCCTGTTTGGTTACTTGTGCACTTTTCCTGTGAGGCTCTTTCTCCAGTGAAATCCAGTAAGTTCCTCATTTCGTATGTTTGCTCTGGAGAGTCGGTTGTAAAAAATATCCCTAGTACAACTGAGAAATTATATCCCTGCCACGATTCCAAAGACATCAATTCGTTAACAGAAACCTGACTTCAATTTAGGATAAAGTTTACCCATGATTAATGGGCTGGTTTAAGGATAATCTAGGAAATCAAGATTGAGCACGTCTCTTTCCTAATACTGCTGTATTTCTCTGCTCTTGTATGTTGTTATTCGTTTGAATTGCTTACTAGGATTTATGTGCAGAATTGCATGTCCTTGGTGTACCCCCTTAGAGGTGCAATCACTCATTTGTGTGCAATTCATCTTGATTTCATGGAATGATGGAACTCCATCCCGTAGAGATGTTAAGCTTTCGTAAGTGAGAATGATTTTATCCCGTTCTCCAGGAAAATTTTCGTTTGCTGTTCTCATCAGGTGAAGGAAGCAAAGAGAGTCAAGTTAATGACATCTCTACGGAACCTCACACTTTAAATAGAATGTTGGTGAACTCAGGCAAAACTGTATCAGCAAGGCAGGCATGGAAGGTCACACGACAAGTGGGTTGCCTTCATGGGATGTTCTTGGTAGATTCTGAAGAAAGTCAATGGCTGTGTAGTGCAAACCTTCCATTTTTGTCAAAGCAGAATTTGAAAAGAAAAATCAAGGAGGAAGTACAAGAGAACCTTTTATCCCACACTTGGGGTCACTGCTGCTAATCCCAGCACTGGAAATGCTCGGGTAAGCGTTCCTGGCCAGGCTGAGCTATCTAATAAAGTTCGGGCAACCAGTACTATGGAGTCCAGTTACTTCAGACACCAAGCAAACAAATAAACAAACAAAATAAAAAATTTCAAAAGCACAAAATTAAAAAAAAACAAATGAATACAAGGTCAAAAGAAATTTGTAGAAACGGAAAACATTGGCTTCTCAAGCCCTTTCTCGTCTGAAGATGAAAGACAATGCCAGCATCCACTCTCCAAAAGTGAAAGTCGCTCTCTCCTGCCCCTTGAGGACTCGATAGCTTCCTCTTGACCCAGTTCCGTGCTCACCTGTCACAACTGACTAGAAAAGTCCTAAAGGCATCACTGCTTATGCAGATACCGCATCCTAGTTATAGCAGTGTCTATGATATGTTTAATTGATTTGTTTCTAAGATTAGCACCTCATAAAAAATAAACAACATCTTTAGTAGATGCCCTACTAGATATGATTAGTAGAGATTAGTGTTCACTTTCTTTCAGCTTTTTTAGATCCTCAAGCCAATCAACAATTTTTGGCCAGTGAAAAACAAGGAATTTAAAAACAGCCTACATCAGGCCAGGCATGGTAGCACTTACCGTTAGTCCCAACACTTGGGAGTCAAAGGTATTTGGATCTCTGAGAATAGTTTGAGGCCAGCCTGGTGTAGGGTGGGTTCCAAGACAGTCAGGGCTACACAGAAACCTGGTCTTGGAAAACAGACAAAAAAAAATGCAACAGCCTGCGTTAATTATAATGCTTTTGCTTTTCTCTCCAGAAGACTTACTGGTCCAAAGAGGTAACCCTATTTGTATTTAGCTACTCAGAGCCAATGCTCACTTCATGGGTATTGCAAGTGCACCCTGACATCGAAATGGGACCTTCTCATCTGCGTGGATTTTATTACTGGGAAACAGTATTTGGCAATGGTCATGTTCCTGCTTGGTGGCACTTTGTACTCTGTGATTCTTTCATTGGCCTTACCTGATATTTACATGTGATATATTTATATCTATGCATCTGTGCCTAGTTTGGGGGTTCTCCTTTCCTTCCCTCTAGAGGGCTTGAAATAGCTCTTTGTCAGCTTCAGTTCACACCCATAAAATTGGCTTCGAGTTTCCACCTTGTTTGAAATCCATGGCCTTTAACCTCCCTAACCCAAAACAGATGGGAAACAGTTCGCCCAAACAATTCTGAAATGTGCGAAGCTTGTCCACATCTTAAAAAGTAGTTAATAAAACCCAATCTAAAATCTTATTTTCCTTTCCCCGGGGTATGTCACAAGAATTCCATGGTTAGTCTAAGTTCACTTTTCTTTAGATCTGAAATTTGGGGTTCTTTCTCCCTCTTCTTTCTTCCTCCTCTCTCCCTCTTATTTTTAATATCTGTCCCTTAAACCTGCTTTAATTTCCTTGGAGTATTCTAGAATCTCTGAACCCATCTCTCATGTCTTTGAGGATGGCCACTGGCTCACCCACACCTTGTCTGAATTCTCTGCAAAGTCACCCTTTGCCTGCAGTTAGTTCTGTGTAATGGCCTTCATGTTCCCAATCGTCAGAGGTCTCCTTTCTCTAATACAATAAGCACACCTGAACATAGTGCTGGAATTCAATCTTTGCTGATTTATAAAAAAAAAGCAACCGAAAAGAAAAGTTTACTCTGTTGGCTTTCTCATTTCCACATGTATAGTATAGCGATCCCCAAATGGACAGACTCCGGAAATTATATTTCTTTTCTGTCAATCAGTTGAGAAAAATCTTGTTTACAAAATGAAACTGGAGCCATCATGCTGAAATTTTGTTTATATAACAAATAACAAATTCAATGGTTTGTGCTTAATTTTTATTTAACTTTTCTTATACAATTTATTTTGATCATATTTCCCCTATCCTCCCAAATTCTACCCATCCAACATTCTACACACCTAACTTCATGTCTCTTTTCCTCTCCCCCCCTCTCTCTCAAAAATGGCAAAAAAATTAAAAATCAAAACAAACAAAAAACCCACAAAACAAAACAAAAATACATTCTAGGAGCAAACATTTACTGGCATTCAGCACTAAAGAGCTAGGCAAATGTCTCACCTACCGCCACGTGGTTTCGTTTCGTGGAGAACCTAAGTTCAATGACTATAATCAAAGGAGTGTGACTCTGAAAATAATAGTAATAAGATTTTCTACTAAAATACACTCTTCTTACCATAGAGAGTGAAATCTTTCAACTATGGACTCCCTTCAGAAGTCATAAAAGACATTGCATAACTACTGCCTACAGAATATTGCTTTCTCCTTTCCCTGCGCTTCTTTACACTCAGTGCTCTTGTCAGAATCTTCCCACATTTCATCCTTCCCCATTTGTATCAACTTCTCCCACATCATCTCTTGACTAAACTCTAAATAGAACCCCTAAGTGCTCCCTCAGCTTCCACTCTTGCGCCTCTCCACTGCTCATGCTTCAGAACAAGCTCCCCACAGAGGGCTCACAGCACCCATTTTAGACCTGCATGCCATCTCAGCTCTTTTTCCTGCTCAGCTCTGAGCTGCTGCATGAAGCCAGTGACAGAAGCAGCAACACAGCCACAGACCGTAGGTAAAGGAACGTATGTAATAAAGTTTTATTATCTATACTCGTACACCGACCCTTGCTTCCTTTTTTGTAACATTTATTTACTTCGTGTGACATGGTGGTGCTCCGGTGGTGTAGATGTCTTGACAGTTCTCTCCCTTCCGCCCCATGGGTTCTGGATATTTCATGTAGGACTTTAGCTTTGGCAGCAAGATCCTCTACCCTCCGAGCCATCTCTCAGCCCCACCTCTTGTTGATACAGTGGGTCTCGGACCGTGTCAGTATCATGCCTGTGGCTGCGCTCTGCCCCACAGTTTCCCACTGATAAAACCTTCTCTCCATGAACCTGTTGCTCAGTCTTAGCTCGTCCCAGCTTCGGGAATCAGTGAACTAGAGGGATGTAGCAAGGTCCTCCACATATGCAGACTGGGATGGACAGGTGTCAATCTCATCTTTCAAAATCACTTTACAACTGTCTCTTGATTTCAGTTTTCAAAATAAAATTCATACTTCTGCAAATATCCTTGGTGCCAACTCATTGTGGGTTAGACCCTTTGTGGGCTTCATCCAACCTGCTGGCCCAGAAGAGCTACCACCAGGTCACGTGCAGAGCTCGTCCCTCAATCTAGGCTATTGATTGGCACTAATTAGTCAAGACTGCAGGAGATCTCATTTAACAAACCACCTGATAGTAGATCCTCTTGTTGAACTTGGCTCTGTGAACCTCCACAGTTTTCAACCACTTCAGAGCATACGGAGTTAATTCTATCATGCAGGGATTTTTCAGGTTGAATTGTTGACTTGAGAAAGGGTAAAGGAGATTCTAAAAGGGCAGGGAAGTCATTTCTTATTCTGGCAGTCCTCAAATATTCCGAGAACTTCAAAGTCTTTAACTGTGGCCTTTTTTTGAGGCAAAAAGTTGATGACCTGGGAGTGACTTGTGAGATCCAGGTGGCCCTTGGAGGTAATAAAGCAGGGCCTCACCCACTGCCGGAATGGACACTCTGTGGTCAGACTAGCAGAACTCCTGACAATATGTTGACAGCGTTCCTTTGTGAAAGGTCAGTACAAAATGAAAGTTAACTATGCAGCTTGGATTCTTCTTTGGTTCTGTGGTCCATGTGCTTTGCCATGAGGGAGCGTGGGCTAGAGTGGAAGGAAATATCTGCTGGATTGTAGTGGTGCACATTCTCCACATTGCTAAGGACAAAGGGGTGTCCTTTCTCCCCGAGTATTTCTGAAGCCAGCTGCAGTGCTCGGGCAAAGAAGGGGACACACTTCTCCCAGCTGTGTCTGAAAGCAAACCTTTCTGAGGAGCAAGGACATTGCACCCACCCTTCATCGTGAAACCCTCAGGAGTTTTGGAGGTGTTGTGGAGTGCTGCCTCACAGTGGTGATAGCCATGAGAGGGGAAAAGGAGAGAGCTGAGTCTTTTCACCCTGAATGGAGCATCTGGCAAGGGGGACTCCTTGTCAGGGGCACTGACGACTACAGAAAAAGGATCATTCACAAAAGAAAAAGAAGAATTCACAAACAGACTACAAAAAAAAAAACGAGCATTCACAAACAAGCACCATGTGTGCTTTATACATAGAACTTCAAATATCATATACAGTCTAAGGAATAATAATTATATCAATATTATTTTGCATGCTAAGGAAAATAAATGCCAAAAAATGCTTTGTCATGTGTATAGTTCTTACTGAAGTATATGCAATAGGTATCAACTATAGATATAGATAAGAATATGAATCTAGAATAAACTACAAATGTTCACATAAAAGTAATAGTGACATAAAGTGGCAAAATAGCCACATTTGTGCATTCTGATGCCCTAGATCTACATCTCTTTCTTAATGAAAGGTTTATTCTAGAAACCAACATTTGACAGAAAACAGGATTTTACATATACTTCATCATGACATTAACATAGAGCATGGTCTCCATGTAAGTAAAGATTCTATTGTCTTCATCTTTGTGTCCCAACCCCTCCCTCAGATAGGTGATTAATTGCTGACAGCTGATTATAAATGTTTTTGAGGTGTCCTTATTGTAAATAGATCGCATATCAAGTTTCATACGAGAGATCGGAAAGAGTCACTGATTGCGTCGCCCTCATCCTCCAGTCCCTGTGATTGCTGTCCTTCTTTCCCTGTACGTTTCGATGAGTGGAAGGCTAGCCCACTTTTCCCGCACTCGGGGTGTTTCTCTTCTGCTCTATGAGAATGAGACATCCGGCAGCAGGCTGTCCCCAGCTTCTGCCTCTGTCAGCAAGGCAGCTTATTAAGACCACAACAACAAAAACAACAGAAAACAAATATTGGAAATGAATATGAGACAGATGATTTTGTTTATCTCAAGTGAAAAAGACAAGCAATGAGACCCCTGGGAGCCCTGAAATGAGAAACTTCTAAAGCTAATTGAGACATGATTAAAAAGATTGCTGTGTCGTATAGCCAGCAGTCATTGAGTTTAGTCATTAGGTTCCCCAGCGTTGAAGCAATCAAACCAGTTATTACAGCTTTAGCGAGCAGCAGACTGGCTTTTAGTATGTATAGTTTCTGTAAAATGATAACTTATTAAGGGTATAAGTGGAGTTTCTGAAACATTTAATAAATATATTTTAAGAAATTGCTCTCTCTGGTACCATTTATCATAGGCTCAGATAGGTTTCTGGAATTCTTTTTTTCTGTAGCAGTATTGTGTAAATACACACAACCCAGACTGCATGTGCCGTCTTAAATCTTCTTATAGTCGTGTTGTAGAAAGTACAAAGAGAGAAAATCATTTTAAGAACATTTTGGTTAATGTTCCAGGTCCAAAGCAATATTTCAGTGTTTGCTATATAAAATTATTAATGGGATGTTTTACATTTTTTCATTATGTAAAGATAGTATGAGTCATTTGGAGCATGCCTTGCTTTTGTCTACTCATGCCTTGCTTGGTGGCTAGTGTCTATTGGGCTGGACAGGGCAGCCTCAACTTTCCCTTGCCGGGACACGCACTGCATAGGGTGCACGGTGTCAGTGACACTCCTTGCTTATTCTGGGCTTCAGTGTTTGGTATTACATATGCTCATGGAAGGAAATTCCTTTTCTAACAATAAAAACGTCTGTCCTATGAAGTGATGGTATGGCCATAAAGCATATGTAATCATTTCCATGGAAACCATTGACAACCAATATTTTTATTTTTGTTACCTCTATTTTAATTATATTTCAGCATATAAATGTTCTAGGTGTCATGTATTTTCCCATGACTAGGTCTCAGCAATTGTAAATTTCCCACTAAAGAAAAACAAATTAACAATCATAAACTTAGAAAAATGCTAATATAGAGTACTGGGTAGGGAGACCTCATTTGAAATGAAACCTTGATATGAAATTCTTGTCCACCAAAATCACTGGCATTTTTTCAGAGAGGACAGATTCTACCATTTGCAGTAGGCTACATATCAGTTTTTAAAATAATACCATGAAATTACCATGGAAGAAAATCAATAGATTGCTGGACTTGCAGAAAGGTGGGAAGTTTCCCAGGTTGAAGATGGCTCAGTGAGTAGAAGCACTGGCTGAGCAAGTTCAAGGAGCTGAGTGCAAATCCCCCACACCCATGGGAAATGCCAGGAGAGGATGTATATGCCTGCAGTCATTGTACCAGGATGTATGGAGACGGAAGTGTGGCTGGAGCTTCCTCATCTGCCAGCCTCGTTCCAGGTTCAGTGAGAAACCTTTCCAAAGGCATAAGATGGAGTTAAAATAGGACATCAAACTTTCACTGGTCTTCTCACGTGCACACAATCAATCCCATGTCGCACACACACAACATTTCACATACACACATACGCAAGTGTGTGTATGTGCTTCTGAAAGCCACAGCGTCTTGGTCCTCAAAATGGCCAAAAGGTTAATGTTACTGCATATTTCCAGTAAATTCCAGGATTCTGATATTCAGGGATATTAGCACATGGGCCACACACAGCACAGTGGAACCAAGGAAGAATATGGTGGGCGACGCTCGGTAACCTTAGGCTGGTGCGGTCACTCAGTCCTGTGGCAGGAACAGTAAGAGGGTGGTAAAATGAGATAAATGGAAAGTGTTGCCAAGGAGACATGCCTGTGTCCTTAAGGGCTGGAAAAGCTTTTCTTGGCTCTACCTCTTAGTCAACTTTGACAGTTAAAATAAATATCATATGCCGTCACTTTTGTTCATTCAGCTATTTCAATCTATCCACATGACACATACTGCAATTTTGAGTCAATGTTAAAAACCTAATCAGCTCAAATCCTTGTTAAATTCCTATTTTTTGGCTTCTGCAGAGTTGGGGCACAGGAATTCTTCAGTTTGAGGTTGAAAATGAAAAGTTCTTATGCTAAATACGAACCCTGAGGCTCTTGGCTCCCACACAGGACCCGGACTTTGTGAGACAGGAATGACGAGAAGAACGCTTCAGAATTCAAATTTGGAGTCGTTAAATTTGCTTTAAATTCGCATGATGTGTGTTGATAATTAAAGCGTGCACAGAGGATCACAATTGGGAGCAATTACTGAGTTCTTGTTTCCCAGTGAAGCCAGCGTATCCTTCAAAACTACAAGAGTGTCAGGATGCAAAAGCCAGGGCAGTGTGATGACAGACTAATTTGTTCTTACATTTGTCTTGATGAGAAAAATTTCCATTTTTACCATACTTTTGAAGGAGTAGAAATCTACTAGCTCCCTGCTCTACTTAAAAAATAAAAACACAGAATTTTAATTTGTTAATATTAACACTTTTTGTGGCAACGCACACCTTCAGTCACCAAACTAGGAAGGCAGAGGCAGGTGGATCTCTTGAGTCTTAGGCCAATCTGGTCTGCAGAGAGAATTTCAGGACAGCAAAGGCTATAGAGGGAAAGTCTGTCTTGAAAAACAAAATAATTAATAATAGTAATAATAATAACAATAATAAATTTACTTTAAAATCCAAGAAAAAATTTTACTTTACATAATGTCTCATTGGAATGGTCTCAAGGTAGACTTTGCCCATTTGTGAACCAACAAATTGGTTTTGCAGCATGATGGTGCTGCAAAATAACGAGAAAATTGATATATCTAAAATAAACTAATTACAGTTATCTCTGGTATAATTCACACTTAACAATAACCAACTGCCTGATTGTTGAAACCACAAATATTTCCTTTTCTTCTTCTTACTATGCAAAACACAAAGCCATAAATACTATAATGAACAAGAGCAATAGCAGTAATGAGTTTTAAGCTATTTCCAGCACAGTTGGTAGTAAAGAGCACTGTAACATGAGGTCCTGCTTGTTGGGGTTTCCATCCTGCCCAGTTCCCATAGTCAGTAAGTCCCAAAGAAAATACACAGAAGTCTATATTAATGATAAAACTGGTTGGCCCATTAGCTCAGGCTTTGTATTAGCTCTTATAACTTATATTAGCCAATTATTCTAATATATGTTAGCCACATGGTTAGGTTCCTTTTTCAGTGAAGCAGGTCACATCTTGCCTCTTCCATGATCTGGACAGGACTGAGGAGAGAGCTTCCTTCCTCCCAGAATCCTCGTGTTCTCATTGACCTGCCTCTACTTCCTGTCTGGTTTTCTCGCCTATACTTCCTGCCTGACTACCAGCCAATCAGCGTTTATTTAAAATTGACAGAATATAGAATTGTCCCACACCAGAGTACGAAGGAACATGAATTTAAATTAATTACACAACCTTATGTTATCATATTTTTTCTAACATGGTCAGTAGTATTACGCCTAATTTTTAAGTATAAATTTGAAGATTAACCTATAGTCTGTTATTATTGGTATACTTTGTCTGTTTATGAGCAATGTTTTCCTTCCTTTTCCTATGAAGTTCCCATAGGTCCTAATTAGTTTTGTATTAGTGAAAATAATTGTCCCTGTGTATCTTTTAATCTAAGGATTTTAAAAAAGCTGATTTAAATCACTTGAGGAGATAACAGTAAAATTTGTCACATATGCATGACTCCTGCACCAGAACTCCCAAGTCTCAAATGACGATGCCCACGGAGGGAATGGCAAGTAAGGAATGCTAAGTGTTTCAGCTTTTATCACCTTCATCATGAAACTGATTCTCCTAAGAAAATAGATGCAATCTCCTATTGTCCTTCATTTTTCAAATAAATATTTGATCAGGTTTCAAAAATACACTTAATTATAGACCTTACCAAGAGTTGCATGAGGGACTAATCTATCGATTGGGGCTGATGGGCCCATCCATTCCCATGCTGCTGGTCATGTCTGTTGATTGTCAGATTCATTCTGGAATGAGGTCTTCAGCTGTGGTCAAATGAATCTCCCAGCAATCTTGAGCATTTGTCCTTTAGAAGTGGTGACAACCTATAAATTCCCAACTATGCCAAGGACATTTCACAAAGAGGATGAGAAAGGAGTTTCCGCCTGCCAAAAGGTCTTTAAGTGAAAAGCGGGGGATCTGGTCATTCTTATCTCTTAGACAGTAGTGGGAGGGGTCTATGGAAGAGTTTGCCATCCCTCTGTCTGTGCCAAGAAGGACACACATCTTAGGATGAGAAGGTCTCAGAGGCCCAGACAGACTCTCACATAAGTAAAAGTAACTAAACCCCGAAGGGACCAAAACTCTTGAAACTGGAGATAAATGTGAAGACTTTAAAAATAGCTATGTATCAAAACTTAATTTTGTGGGAAACTTTCACGGCAGTATAATCCACTAACTAAATGTGGCTGCCTCACTGACAGCTTGGAACTGTGAGTAATCGGGTTGCTGGTATGTCTCCTCGCTCTGTACACGCATCTATTTTTAATACATCCCAACATAAATTTAAGTTCAAGATAATGCATGCTGCTGCTCCTTAATGACGGTGATGAATAGGATATTGATTAGAAAATGGTCTGAGGAACAGGTAATTGATAGGAACGGAGGCAGTGTGGCAATCTCCATCTTCATCTTTTTCATAATAGCTACAGATCTCTCAGTTGCAGTCATATATATCTCGTACAATCAAGGGAAGGTAATATATAAATTAATTTTTAATTAAAATCTCTGATACCTAGAGCAAATCTCATGTGATAATTCTGTGGTAACTTGATGCATTTATCATGTAAGGAAAAAATATCACTTGCGTGAAAGAAAGAGAAACCAGTTAATGTTTTGGCAACAAGTTTCAATATGCCCGTCATCAATGAGTTTCTTAAGTAGAATGCATGCTGTATTTTTCTGGGAAATACTCCTGTTAGGCAAACATACTCTGGTGGGTCCTTTTTACCCTGATGTATATTTTAAAGGACTTAATAGTATTAAAAAATGTCCAATACTGTTTGCTCAAAACAGATAGTTCCAAAATTGACCTCTAACTTTTGAATAGTTGTCTAGGAAGTGGGAGGTACTCTAAGGGTGGGGAGCTGAATGTACCTTTTCTCATTTTCCATCATGCCATCGACCACCAGTGTTCAGTACATTCCTGATGAGAGGTCCTGCCTAAAGCTACAATTTTCCCCTCCTCTTTGCTCTGAGTCTGCCTGGCCTGCATTGGCCTTGTCCTGTGTGGGCTATGTGAGTTGCGCAAGTATTTGTTGAAACCACAGTCGCACTCAGCGTGGATTCTGCTCAACACTCTGAGTTATAAACAGAGCCCATGAGATGAATCATTGGCTAATCAGTAGCTGCCAAACCTGATGAGGCCCTGAGTTCCAGCCACAGGGCCCACTTGCTACAAGGAAGAACTGGCTCCTGCAAGTTGTCCTCTGACCTCCCCTCCTGAGCTATAGTGGAGTGCCCACACACATAAGCTCACATATAATGAAATGAATAACTGTAATAAAAATACAATGTCCTGTTGCTCATTTAAGTAAGGCTAGGTTGAAAATATTGGAGGTTTTTTCTACGTCTTGGTCATATCGTCTAATCCTCTAGTACACAAAGAGCTTCAATTCCCTAAAGAACAGTTTCCTAGTGCCACCATGCTTCTTTACACAATATTCCCAGAAAACTTTTGAAAAGAGGTAGAGGAAGAGGTGCATCATACTCTTTTTCTACCTCTAAAAGTACAATTTAATTATGCAGAGTTTATGCTTCTTTGCCTAATTTCACTACATTGGGAGGAAATGGTTCAAGAAACTCTCACTGATACATAGCTGACAATAGATGCCATTTTCTAGGGAAAACTATATTTCTCAGTAACAGAGGAAGCACTGCTCATGCAAAGATTATGGGTAGAAAGGGTTATGTTTTCAAACATTTTGTTATGTATTTGTAAATGGCAGTGAAAGGATGGGAAGCTAACCCGAAACGGATGGACAAAGCGCCATACTTCCTCAAAGGAGTGCATGTTGTCAGTAGTGCCAACTCTTCTGAGATCAATTATTCTTCCCTTCTCAAATACAAGTACATTTACCACACACCCATGTACATCAGTAACCATCCCTCCCACACAAACAAACACAGGCGTGCACACACAAGCATCCAAGTAACACAACATTCAGACTTGAAGCAACCACAAAACCTCAATCACTTCTCCAGCCCAAGTGGCTATAGCTTAGAGCAGATCAAGAGAGTCTTTGACACCCTGAATAACAACTGAGTATCTTACACAAGTCTAGTTTCTGGTTTTAACCAAGACATTTAATCAAATGCAATCCAAACAAAGTAAGGAAAATATTAGAGGATCACCAAATAGGACTTACTGCCTACCAAATTATAGTGTTTGAATAAATCGCCAAAGTTGAAGACCTATCTGAGTGACTATATGTTTAATTCATATCATTATCATTTGACCTTTTGCATATTAAAGTTTTTACCATCAGTATGCTATAATTTCTCAATTCATATTCTACAGTATACAGAAGTTATTGTTCAATAGCAGTGTCTGCTCTGGCTTAGAAGATTGAGCGCCAATGTTCTTTGCAAGCACGGTAAGCAAAATAATTAGTGATTTGGATCATATCATGATAGCCGTCGCCCCAAAGAAGCAGTACAGTTTTCTATAACCACTCAAGGTTTGAGGGTACCATTCATTTCACATGTAACTTCTGAAAGAAAATGGAAACTCTCATGCCAATGATTTAAAACAGAAGCAGAAAGATTGGCAGCGTTTCCCTCTGCTGCATAGTCTCGGCACAGTTGACACTGTAACCTTCAGAAGCTCTCAGCTGGCACACAGGGGTCCTCAAAGGACAGACATGGACCTGGCATAAAGAGGAGGAAATGAAGCTTCTCCATGTTTGATCAGAGCAGAGTTTCACCTGTGTGCTGGAACATTTCAGCGGAAAACAAACAAACCCTAACTGGAGATTCAGAGACTTCTCGAGGGACTGTGCCCTCTTCTTTCACACTCTTCCCTGAGATATGCTGCTTTAGGAATTCTTTAGTTGATACAAATCCTCTTACAGCCTTACTGTCTTCTATGAAAATAATTTTTAAAGATTTTTTAAAAAATTTTATGTAGGATGTGTTTGCATGTATGTGTGTGTGTGCGCGTGCACATGTGTGCATGCATGAGTATGTGTGTGTGTGTGTGTGTGTGTTTGCTTGTGAGTGGCATGCCCTATGGTTTCAGAAAAAGGGCAACAGAGTCCTGGAGCAAGAGTTACAGAATATTTTGAGCCACCTGACTTGGATGCTGGGCACCATGCCCAGGTTCCTGCCATAGACTGAGATGTGCTGTTAACCACTGAACCATCTCTCCAGGCCCCATTATATCAAATACGTCGTTCGTATGTAATGTGTTTTAGTTGAATTATATAAGGCAGAAATACTGGTTTTAGGTAAAGATGCAATGACCATGTGACCCCCTTGTCCACCCCTACCTCGGAAGGAGGAGGGAATGGTTCTCAAGGAAATACTTTGGAAATTCCCTGTACATATGGTTGACTGATGATCTTATCTATGTTCATAGCATGTGGCATGAGCAAGGTGTCCCTGAGAATTACCCTCAAAAACTATGAAAGACAACTGCACTGTTTTTGCTGAAACTCTTGAGAAAGACTCTGTTTCTCAGGAGCAACAAATACATGGAAGCCTGTTCTTTTTTAGCTTTTCAAGGCCTACTGCAGGCCTCATGTTCAGGCACTTGTGAGAACAAAGGAATGGTCATTGCCCTCAAGTATCTGTCTGCATGGAGTTTATAATGCAGGAAGGATCAGGCAGTGAATCCGACAATAATACAAGTAAAAGAGGAACTTTATAAAATGGTTGGGTGTGTTATGAAGTTGAAAAAAATCAAAAAAGGTATAATGCATATTGGAAAAGAGATTTTCATTGTTTGAAGTAGTTAGTCAAGACTTCACTGAAAGTAAGCAAAGATGGAGAGGAGATAATTCTACAATTACCTCTGTTTGAAAACGTCACTATCCCTTTAGGTTACAACCTGCCTACATCATTGAACACTTGTGTTCAATAATCAATAAAAGCCATTAGAAGATATTTAGAAATCATAACCCACTAGAGAGTACTATAGCAGCGGGTCATTGACCTGCCGCTATGATCTGATGTTAATTATGTCCATAATTCATTGTTGATGTACATTTTGAATGAAATGTTCATGGGAAACCTCGTGTGGAAAGCGATGGCAGATTAGAGAATGTAAAAGAATAACCACCTAAAGTAAACATGTAATGAACTGAAATGATTTGCTTTATAAACATTTCAAATGTCGGGATCAAATTCAGTGGACAGTGTTTACTTAAAACATGTTGCAACAATTAAGGATAAAGCGGGAACAAAGCCAAGGGCAAGAAGCAGCGTTCTGTAATTACTTAGCCTGCGCGAAGGCAGCTTTTGGCTGGGAGGAATTTAAAACATGGTCAGCATGATAAGTGGGACTGAAATTGATAAACGGTTTAATAATCCAGTTGCTTTGTTGCACCCCAACTGCTTTACTTTTGCTCAACAATGCAAACCCTTTATGGAGTGGCGTTTTCTGACCATATTTCAAAGCATTAAAAGGGAATGAGTGGCCCTTCAGTTGACCAGATGAGGCTACTATTACCCACTCCACCCCCTAACAAAACCCAGACGTCTAACTCGATGAAAAATAGAATCCATCTGCAAAAGAATGCATGTAAACTAAAAAAAAATCAGTCATAATTACAATCTTGGATATTGTTACTAACAGTGGGCTTCAAAAGTTCCTTCATTGTTATGAGAGAAACTATCTCTGCAATAGAGAAAATTAAGTGAACACAGTGGTTCTGGGAAGGCAATAAGCCATTGTCTTTTCTTTCTTTTCCCCAAGTTTAAAATTAGACAGAAACTTATATTGATTTTGTAATTACTGAGGAAGTCAAAATTTTTCTATGCATAATACATTACACAATTAGTTTTCCCCTTTGTATAATGTTACAAGAGATACAGATAATCATTCACAGCGTTCTTTGTCTCACCTTCGAGACCTGGAGCCACAGAACTTGTTCTTGTATCCCGGTTCCTACTTAATGTCTTCTTCAGTCAGAAATATTTTTTTTTATTTTTGTCATTGCTTCTCTTGTAAACCATGAGATTCTATGAAACCCTTTATGATATAAATGATAAGGAACACACTCCTAACCAGTGGTTAATTCATAGTGGATGGACTTCCCTAAATCCACATTGTCCACATAGTCTCAGCGGTTAATTCATGGTGAGTGGCCCTCTCTAAGTCAATATTAAAGTCTACATGGCCTCTGTGCTCATCCTGTCTTGCAAGAACCATATAATGAATGGATAAAGAGGGGAAGAAATATCAGAACCGTTAGCTTGATTTTCCTCCTGAGCCACTCAGTGCTTAGCCTTGGCATTCTTCTTGTTTTTTTGTGTAGGGTTAGCATGGCCCTCCTGACCTCCACATTGATTTTTAACTTGTCAACCCCTCCAAAAGTTTATCCTATAAGAGTCCTCCAATGGTGGAATAGGGCCTACTTAAGAAGAGACATAGTTGCTATGTTCGTATCTTCATCTTCTTTGAAAACAGTTTTATTCATTATATTTCATGAGTGTTTGTCTCCTATAGAATATGTATTGTGTCGTGTGCATGCCTACTGTCCCTGGATGTCAGAAGAAGGCACTAATGGCCTCGAACTGGAGTTAAAGATGTATTGTCAACCAAGATGTAGATGTAATAGGGTGAACCCAGGTCCTCTTGCAGAGCCCTGAGTCCTCTTAACCACTGAGCCAATCCCTGATGTATTTTCTTGTCAATGAGAATGAAGTCCAAAAATGACACAGCAAGAAAACAACATAATATAATCACAGAGAAAAGAACCCATGGCCAATTGTCTGGAGATTTGATTAGCTTTGTCCTCTGTTCGCTTTAATGGACTCTGTACAGAGTCCAGTTGGAATCTGCCAACTGTTTAATAAGAAAGATCATATGCCCAGTTTCAATAAATATTTGTTAGTATCTTTGTTTTTAATTGTAAAGTTACATTTTAAATTGAAAATTAATACGAGACATTGTAAACACAAAAAAACTGTAGAAATTATAGAGGCAAAAAAATCTATTCAAGTGTGCAATATATGTGTGTATGCATATATATATGTGTGTGTGTATATATATATAA